TGAGTCTCCTGGGGCACTTATTCCTGGTGGAAATGGGTCAGGTCTTCCCCAAAAGCCCAATTCATCACACACCATCACAGTCTTGCCCTTCTTTCTTGAGGAGCCCACCTATGACCATGAAGGGTCTTTTGGGGTTCAGAAAGCCAGACTGGAGGCAAAAGCAAGGTTCTACTCTGTTCAGGTTCTTGAACTATTTCTCGAAAACTAAGAGAGAAAACAAGCTAACAAATGCAAGATCAAAAACTATTTTATTCATTATGTTGCTCCAAAAGATAAGACTGTAGAACTAAATGTCAAGGGACCTTATGACATTCCTGGCAGCATTTCTGTGTGGTTTTTAACCAGTCAGTATAATCCAAATTAGTAGGCGCTTCAGAAAAGGCTTTTGGCTGGTCCACAGCTGGAAAGAGGTTGTCATGAATTCTGCCAAATGCATATGAATATATAAAGGGGGGGGCGCAGAGGGAAATTGGGATTTTTTTTTGGCCCAGCTTTTTTTTAATAAAAAAAAAAAACCCAGATTTAATTAAAATCTTCCTCATATTCTGGCCTCCCCTGTAATTTTTGTGTTGTTGCCCAAAAGCTATTATGTAGTTATTTAAATAAGAGAAAGGAAGGGGGAGCATTTTTAATTTTAAAGGATAAAGAGAGGAGAGAAAAACACTTTGGGTTTTTCTTTGTCCACATCCTGATCCCAAACAGTAGTGGCCTGTGTATTTCTTTAGCAGGTTTTTCTTAGAGGCAACTAATAACAGCTTATCAGTTTCTTTAAGTCTTTCCTAACTCTTTGATGTAGCACACTAACTCATACAACAAATGGAGTACCTCCACCCATCCAGTTCAGGTAGAAACACATCACCCAAAGCCAGTGTTCTCAGCAGCTTCAAGCGGGACAATAGAGTAACTTCATCTCGTTAAGTAATTCTAGTCTAAGTCACTTGTAATAAACTTGGAATTGCCTGATCCAGTCTCATGAGTACTGGGTCATGTCAATCCTTTTTGCCAAACACATATATCATGCAGAGGGGAAAAAATGCCCCAAACGAAATCTTAGAGCTGTACAGTGTATCTTAACTCAGTGGTTATCTGTCTCATACAAGGATCCTCCACTCCTCACATAAGCAGCCTGCCTGTTCCCGCAGTGCTCTCTGTATCTCACTGCACTTGATGCATTGCCAGGATCATCTGTCTCTACAACTGCTGAAGGTTCCAAGCTTCTTCAGGGCAGGGATTATCATTCCCTATCTTTGACCCTGTAAGTGCCTCGCATGCCAGAGTGGACTAAATGTGTGTTGAATGAATGGATAGATGAGTAACATGTCTCCCATCTGTCTCTACTGTCCCATTCCCACTCTAGGTTCAGATTCTCACCTGGACTCTTCATTTACTTCCTGGCCTGTCTCAAATACATCCTACAGCCCACTACCAGAATCACATTTCTAAAACATCACTCCCTGTTCTCAAATCTTTAGTCCCATGCCCACTTTCCATTGTCTACAATTACTGCTACAAATTCCTTGGACTGACATGCCTGGGACTGACTTTCACAATCTGACCCCAGCCTACCTTTTCCAAGGTTCTCTCCCACCATCATACACACATACCTTCACTCCAGTTAGTCTGGTGTACCTATCATCTCCTGAACTTGACTTGCACATTCTTACATCCGAACTTTCCTCCTACTATTCCCTTCACACCCCCAACCTTGAATGCACGTCTTTCCCCTCTCTACTTAACTGAATTTTTAAAAATTTATAATGGTCCAGATTACCATATCTGTGAAACCTTTATTAAATATCCCACTCTAAAGAAAATTATCCTCCTTTCAAACTCCACTGAGGCTTCTCCTGAGTACTTACTTCATTCTGCCTTGTATTAACTAGCTTTTTGCTAGTCTCATCACTCCAACCAGACTGTAAATTCCTTTGGGGTTATTTACACCCATGTGTGGAACTCCCCTGGGTATCAACCAATCAACCAATCACCAATAGATAAGACTTACAACATGTATTGCAGGGAATATGGAGTATAATATATAATTAATATAGAGGAACAACAGTTGCCATTGAAATAAAGTAGAAAAACATTAACACTTTTGGGAATCCAGATAAAATATAAAGAGAGAAAAAATAAAAATAATAAATTAACTAGACTATTGATTTGCCTGCTTCAACATCAATGATAAAGCATACCAGGTAAAGTGGTTCTTTTCAACCAGATGTTATAGCTCCCTCTTGGGTGCTGGTTTTGGAAAAGCTGCTTAGCCTGAGGATCAAGCTACTGGTAGTCCCTGCATCAGAAATGTGGAATGGTTTACTTAGTACCCTGCCTATAACAGTGGCTGTGTTGCCATGTCCAGTACAATGACGGATTCAGGCAATAATGATGGCAATCTGCTGATGGCTCAGTCAACAGCTTGATTCTAGTTGGTATCATCAGAGAATGAGACTCTACAATGGGTATCTACATAAGTGATCCAGATAGTTCTATCAGCAGCTACAATTTGTTCCACTGTTCAAAGCTCCTATGAAAGGGTGTCTTTAATCCACCAATCTATAGTTTCCCAAGTGGCAGATCAAGCCATAGATCATTAGTAACAGCCTAACAATCAGTAAAAACATAACATCATGGTTCATCAAGAGAGTATCAGCTGGAACTATGAGAACAGCATTAAGTTCTATCCACTGACCACATCAACTCCATTCATTTTCAGTTCTGCATACCTGGCACCAACGTTGAGCAGCCATAGCCGTTCATTCACACACCACTGGTTTTCAGCTTAGTCAATCTATCAATGAAAGAGGCAACAGGCATTTAGAGGTATATCCTAAATGCAACCTATATTTTTAAACCCCCTAAATGTAACCTTTATGAAATGAAGGTGCCACTGAGGGAGGGGCTTTGTTTCAGGCAGTGGTCCAAGGTGCCACTGGGGCCGAGCCTGCTGCATTCTTGCCTATAACAATTGCATTTGACAAGCCAGGCTTGTTGGGCCTTCATACTTTGGATGTCATGCATCTGTTTGATCCACCCCAAAAAGGAAATATCAGGCTGCACAGCTCAGGTGTTCAGTTTTGACAAGAGCCCAGTAGAATGTTAATACGTAGTTTTTCAGAAGGGGTATACATAGCCATGTTAAGGAGTCCAGGCATCCAAAACTCCAAGGGCACCTCTGGATGGGGATGGAGGGGCTCCCACCAGCAAAATCATTAGTCATTGGAAATTCTGTAGCTCAAAGTGATCATTAGGGTTGTGTGGCCTCAAAGATACTAGCACTTATCTAAATGGGGCTCTTTCTGGTTGGAAGAATTCCCTCTGGCTCTTATGGGGCAGGAAAGTTTCAGCATAAAACAGGTCAATTCCTACTATATATTCAGATGCAGAAGGAACAGTAATACATTGAATTGGTTCAATGGGCAATACTCACAAGGTCATGTTATCTTCTTTTTCTTACTGTGAACCTTGTCCAAACCCTATCAGTTGAATGTGAGTTTCCCCTTTCCCCATAGGACTAAGATGGTGAAGTGGGCACCTGTAGTCAACAGAGCCATAAAAGTTTGAATCCGTCCTTTCTTCCCCAAAGTCTCCTAGTCTAACTCAGATGGGCACATATGGACTTTGGTCCTCCTTTGGGACAGGAGACCTGGGCCCTATCCCTAGGCATCATTCTCCTTAAAGAAGCTGATGTCAGGTTAAAGTGGGAGTGGGGTCTCCATGCTAGTATGCAAGGCTTTATATCTCCTTTTAATTTTGAGTAGTATGGTAGCTGCTTGCAGCTCAAATGAAATTCCAATGTTTTTGATCCTCAAAGCAGAGCAAGACCATGTGACAATATCTATTTTAGCTTTGGGGACCCCTCTGACTCAGCAGCCATGGACACACTACCTGCAGGCTGGGGCCACTGGCTTTGTACACTTTGGCTGACTCTAGCTTGACTCACAGACTGATGACTTTTTTAATGAGTTCATCTGTTTTTTAGAAGTTCATTAGCAGTATCTGCCCCATTACCAAGAAATAGCTCTTAAGCTCTTGCCTTGTTTTAACATAAAAGAACATTTTTCTAAGGTAGTGAGGCTGACTGCAAGAATTCATCTAGAATTCTCTGGGCCAGTTTCTCATTCTCCAGTAGGTCACCTTTACCAGCATACTAAACTTAATCCAGGGCAGTAAAGAACCGAATACTCATCAATACCTCATCATTCCTTCCTACTGGATTTTGTTTCAGGGTTATTTCCTTGAGAGGCCAAAGCTCCCAGACAGCAGCCAAGACCTTGGAAGAAAAACCCTTTACTACTATCTCTGAATGTATTTAAGGTTGGCAGGACGGACTGCCAAGAGGGGCAGCGCAGCAAAATAGCACAACTGTTGCCATTCTTCCTTAACAAGTATTTGTGCACCCTGCCATATCTCCTAAGCAAAACAACCAAAGTTCTAATAATTCACCTAGTTTCTGCCTAAAAAGTTTGCAAATTTCCCTCTTTTGTGCTTAGTGTAGGTGTGTGTCTATGTGACTATCACCTAAATGGAACTTGCAGCCCACCCAGGATGTATCTTAGTAATAATTGTCACAGTGGGATGGACTCGAAGGTACCTGGCAGATTGGTGAGGAAACTCCTCTCCCTCCACGCATAAAAGGATAAGCCAAAACCAAGGGACCATTTGGTAGCTCTCTCTGGACCTATCTTCCTGAGACTTGGCCTGAAACCATTGACTTTTTACTCATTAACAGGCAATAAAGTTGAGGACCATGTATCATAAGGCAGACTTTGAAATTTGGTCAACATGTTTGCTAAAAATTCCTATGGACATTCTTTAAATCTTATTAATGGGCCACAAAACCCTCATCCTCTCCCAGAAAGCCATGTCTCTATCAGCATCCCATCCTCATTACCAAAACCTGTCAAGAATTGTGAAGGGTCTGAGATTTTGCTCTATGGTAAACTAAGTTATCCTGCCACTTTCATGGACACTAGAAGAAGACATGAGACTCCTGGGGCACATATAATACAAAGAAATTTATTATTCATGGCACAGCAAGAAGCATGATAATCAGTATATTTTTAATCAGTTCTTCCTTGTACCCAAGTCCCAGAGGAGTGACCTGGATAGGCCCAGATGGGTGTCTGCACATACAGTGGGTTGCCTTACATGGAAGGAACCTTGAGCTTAGGGAACCCAAATCTTTTATAATGGGCAGTAAGCATGCCTTTCACTCTGGAGGCAAGACACCATTTTTCAAGGCAGTATGTTAACTTGACCTCTGCTCCAGAGTAGAAGGGAAGGGAGAGATAAAAGAGGGGAAGACACTATATCTATTTTCCAAGGTTGCTCACTATACAAGCATCCTCAAAAAGGTAGTCCAGGACCCAGGAAGTCCAGTGCCTCGATTAGAAAGACAAAGAAATGCAAGAGATCTGTGGATGATTACTTTTCAATAGGTATAAATTATAAAGAAAAAAATGAAAAAATGACAATAAGTTTTGTTGTTTGTGCTGGAATAACTCAGATTTGTAGTAAAACAGTCCATGATTTATACACAAATATTAAGGGACCCTTAACAGATTTTTAAAGCTTCCCAATAACAACTCTGACCATCTTGATCCACTTCACCAACTTACAACACATTAGAAAAATATTTTGGCAATCCATCAAAGCACAACTCCAATATCATAAGTATCATTTACATTTTCAGTTTTAATTTTCTCCTCAGCCTTTTTTTTCTTTTCTTTTAATTTGACTAACTTCACACATAAGTCCAGCTAATCTCCACGCTGAATGTTAGCCAAAATAGAGTTCTTCTGATAAATCCTCCAGAGAGAGTCAGAGGGGCTTGATTAAAGGAGAGATTTTTAAAGTCATAGAGGTCAAAGCAGATTCCTTTTTGGGCAATTCAGTTTGGCATGACCACAACATGATTATCTTGGTAAGAACTTTCAAATTCTAGAACAAAAATATACAAAGCATATCCTCATATCTCAAGAAATAGGGCTAGCAGTTACAGAAGGGAAGCTGGCATATCTTAACATTCATCTAGTAAGCCCCATTTTGTTCCATGACTCAGGCTTCCTAAGAGACTGCCATGATAATTAAACCTCCAGCCCCCTAAGAGCCTGTCTACAATGGCTTATAAAGGAAGGGATAAGAGCCAAATCCCAGGTTGGCCTCAGTTATGTCTAAATGTCAATTTGCTTATCCCACATAGTGAAACATATGAACATCCTGAGGCAGACCTCTTTTAAAGGAATAGGGTCACGTTCCTAGTAAGTTTTTTCACTCCAAAGGATAGATAGGAATGTGCTGTTTCTATGATTCTATGGCTAGATAGAATCATGGATATGTTTATCATTCCATTATAATTCTTTACACTCTAGACCTTATGGTCTCAAACCACTCTGTTTTAGAGAAGATCTCAATGTTTTAGTAAAGTACAGACACCATCAATCTAGTGTTATTGTGTCCATGTGTATGTTCTGGATTAAGACACTTTTTTTGTTTGGATTATAAACCACGTTACTTGATAAATATCTGAGAAAAATGGGAGTGTGTGAGTTGGAAATGAAAACTAGACTGCACTTATTCTATGAATACAATCCTTCTAAGAAAAAAGATTCTTGCAAGTGTTTAGTTTGCTAAATATCTTTATAATAGAGCAGGACCATATTCTTGCAAAAAGAGCCAAGGTTCTTATTTTGGAAAAATTTATTCTCTTTTGGTCAAACAGATCAACAATAAGGCCATCAATTTCCTTGGCAACACCCACCTCCATTCCCACCCCTACACTGCCTTAATGAATTTATTTACTTATGCCCTGTTTTATCTACAAAGGATTTTTTTTCCTATTAGAACTATTAACATCAACTTAGTTCCATTATGCTTTTTCAAGGGAGATTTATTAAAATGGTATAGAAAGATCATGTCTCAAAAAAGTCACCTTCAATTTTCAACAAAGAAACATTATGTTTTATTCCATATCTCTTTGGATAAGCACTACTTGATAATATTTCCAGCATAAGATGTCAGCAGTTCTTGTAACACCAAATGACTAAGACCTTTTATTTAAGAGCCAGATTTGCTTATATTGGCATCTAGATAACACAACCTTAACATCTAATTTCCTGATGTTAAAAAAAAGTCAAATCCCTGCTTCTTTAATTTATGAGTATAAAATATATTACCTTAAAAGCTATTTCCATGTCTCAAACTTTTAAAGCACATTTTTTTACGCAATAAAATAAACACACTCACTACAATGCATCCAGTGATGTTAACTCATACTCTACTTGCCCTTACCAAACTTGAAATAAGTTTTTTAGTTATAATCATCATTCTTCTCAAATACGTGGGGAATCTCAATATTTGAGTGACTTTTCTCAACAAGGAAATAGTGGCAACACTTACTTACCTCCCAGAGCTTAAGACAGTTTGAAAATGTTTTATCACTCAATCCTTATATTTAAAAAGTTAGTCATAAGGAAGTTGGTGGCAAGCCGGCCCAAAGCTAGGTCACCCTGGGCAGGAAGTGGCTGAGAAAATTGCAGCAGGTTTTCAACTTTTTAAAAATCTGCTGGCCACTTTGGCTAAACACACCAAAGACCACCTACTCCACTCTTTCCTCCCAGCTATCACAGCAAAAAAGCACTCACCAGAAAGGATAGGAAGGAGGCACTTCAATGAAACACCATCAAGGTAACCGTCTGGATTTTATGGGTATTTAATATATGCCAGAAACAAAATTATAGATTTTGTCATATTATAAACATTAAATAAGCCAGTCCACAGACCACCGAGGGTTCCCTCACAGATGACACTGTAAATTCAAACTACAGGACTATCTGACATTCAGACATTTTGCTAGGACTAGGTGGTATTCCTGCTGGTAAGTGCATAAGGAATACAGCAGTAACACATAAAACTAAAGCAATCCTGCAAATGATCTGCTGTAACTTATGCAGAAAGTAATATGATCCCACTGCCAGAAAAGAAAGTCTCTCTTTTTAAAATAAGAGGGCTTGAGACCTATGCTCTCAAATCAAAATTAGTTGAGAGTGATCAGGTTTCTTTTTCATTTCTGAGTACCAACTTTAAAATAACTACACAAATGTACACTCTGAGCCTAGTGCCATTTCAGGAATGGGAAAGTGAACTTACTGGTGAATATGAAAATAAGTCTCACAATAAGAAGAATTAAAGTTTAGAAGACCTCAACTAGGAGTAATAAAAAATAATTTGAAATTGTTTTTAAGGACAAGGTGACTAAAATTAATGTTGCAACTTTCCAGAATTATTTGGACTAATTTTTGTGATAACCCAAAAAGGGGGCTAAGCTCTCATATTCCAAATTGAGTCAGATACAAAGTTTCAAATTTACCCCCCATATAACCTCAAACAATTTTAAATAAATGGTTCATAACAGAAATACTGAAAATAAATCACCCTTGAATACTTTTAGATTTTTCCCATTGTACCACAAATCACATCCAGAAACCCAAACAAAATAATTACTGAAATGTTTGAATTCTACTGCTGAAATCCAGAGCTGCAAGACAAAAAAAGGAGGGAGAAGGAGGCAGATAGCCTGGTATCTCTTTGCTTGGGCAGCACTGGGCTTTTGGAGGTGCTAAGCCATGCACGTTCATATCGTGAGTCCATAAAAATCAGCGGTTACACTAAAATAATAATAATAACATAAATAAAATAGGCTCTGGTTAGAAAGGATCCATTTACTGCCGCCCTGCTGAGGTACATTTGACCACCAAAGGCAGGAAAGCTATTAGCATCCTGAATTAATGGGTGTAGTGGTTTTCAAACAAGATATTTTAATGATGGACACAATGTGGACTCAGCAAAGTTTCTCCTTCAAGAAAAATATAGCTTCTATTTCAAAGAGCACTGATTAGGCTTAATACCATTAGGGAACCATCAAGGTTTTGTGTTGTTGTTACTGCTTTTAACTATCAGTTACTTTCTAAACCAAAAATTGTGGGTAGTTAAGTTGAGCAACAGTCAAGGTTTAGGAATGCAAGAGCAAATCCAAGGTACAGACGAGCTTCAGATGTGGACAGGCCTTAAGGAGTTTAGAATCCTTTTAGGTCGTCAGGTCTTTGCCTTTCCGATCATCACCATTACCATTATTACTTCCTTGTCTGTAATTTCAAAATAAAAATCCATTTCCCTTTTCACATCCTCTCTGACAAAGCACTAAATACTACAAGATTTTAGAAATTCTCAATGACGTTTATTAGTGGCAGAGTAAATCAAGTACAATCAAAAGCCAAATTAAATAAATCCACCTAATGAGTAAATTCTTAACCATTATTAATTGCTTATAGCATATCCAGCAGATATGTTTAAAAATTCAACAATATTAATTCCTGTTGTAGATTATTGTAAAAAATATAACTGTTTGAGTCAATCCCCATTAATACTTGAAAGTACAAATATAAATTAAATAAGGTTCAAAAAGTTTTATAACACATATAACAAAATAGTTTATAAAACAAAGATAACTTTAAAAGAATTGCTTAATTTACTTTGTAGCATTTTTTTATATAAAATATTTTAAGACAGTACATGCTTTCGGGATCACACATGGAAGTTAACATCCAGACGTCTTTTCTATCAACTCCTTATTCTTTCTCCATTGTCAAAATCTTAATTTTCATTCCTGGCTGGATTTTTCTTCCTTGGAAATTCTTTTTGTTACCCCACTGAAATATTTCTCACGGAAGGAATTATGACCTTGGTATGGCAGAAAATGATCGCTTAGTAGATGTGAATACTGGTCCCGGTTCTGTTTGGTTGGAAAATACAAAACACAAAGATGTTAGAGTTGTTTCTTTAGTTAGCTTGCAACCAAAGCATTCATTTACTTTAAGAAAAATCTCACTCTCTGGTATACATCTGTTTCTTTATTAGTTGAATTAGAAATACACAATCACTTTTTGTTTGTTTGTTTCATATTGATTTTTGAATGTACTTTTTTATTGTTATTTCAGCATATTACAGAGGTAAAAATGTTTAGGTTACATATATTGCCCTTGCCCCACCAGAGTCAGAGCTTCAAGTATGTCCATCCCCCAGATTGTGCACATTGCACCCATTACGTGTGAATATACCCATCGCCTCCACTCCCCAAATATTACTATGTATGCACTTAAGTGTTGATCAAGTAATACCAATTTGATGGTGTGTACATATTGTGCTTGTTTCTCCATTCTTGGGATACTTCACTTAGTAGAATGGGATCCAGCTCTATCCAGGATAATACAATAGGTGCTACATCACCATTGTTTTTTGTGGCTGAGTAGAACTCCATGGTATACATATATCACATTTTATTAATCCACTCATGTATTGATGGGCACTTAGGTTGTTTCCACATCTTTGCAATTGTGAATTGTGCTGCTATAAACATTTGAGTGCAGATGTCCTTTTTATAGAATGTCTTTTATTCTTTTGGGTAGATGCCCAGTAATGGGATTCATGGATCAAATGGTAGTTCTACTTGTATCTCTTTGAGGTATCTCCATATTGCTTTCCACAGAGGTTGTACTAGTTTGCATTCCCACCAGTAGTGTATGAGTGTTCCTATCCATGCCAATATTTATTGTTTTGAGACTTTTTGATAAAGGCCATTCTCACTGGGGATAAGTGATATCTCATTCTGGTTTTGATTTGCATTTCCCTGATGATTAGAGATGTTAAGCATTTTTTCATATGTTTGTCAGCCATTAGTTTATCTTCTTTTGGAAAGTTTCTGTTCATGTTCTTTGCCCAGTTTTTGATAGGGTTGTTTGATTTTTTTCTTGCTGTTTTTCACTTTACATCCATATCATGCTTGGATATCCAAAGTGTTTTCACTTACTTTACTTCATTTGATCCTTACAACAACCCTCTCTGCACAGAGGACAAAAACTTTTTGTAGTTAGAGCAAAGAGAACTGTTCCAGGTTCTCTTTAGCTTTCTTCTGATTCTTAGTTCAGCACACACAGAAATCATCTGCAGCTATGGATAAGAATTATCAAACAAGGAAGCTTCTACTCAAGAAAAAGTTGTAACCCAACAAATGATTGCATTTGTATGATATCAAACACACTCAAAAAACTGTTTGGGGGTCTATCCATATTCAGTTAACAAAATAAACGATTCCTGACAACTTTAAATAATCATAGTAGATTAATCATGTAGATGAAGAAGCAGGCTAACAAGAGATTTCCACACTTCCGTACTTCACAGACAACTAAGGACTAGTGCTCAGGTTGATATACTTAATGGAAATGTCAGTCTGAGTTAAATGTCAAACATATTTTGACCTAGAAAATTGAGGTTCTTGGTGAATAACACTGACATCAGCGTCTCATCTAATTTCACTAACCATGCCAAATTGTGAAAAAATCTAATTAGAAATAAAATCTCACTTCCCATGTACTCCTGTAAATTCATATTCAATTATACATGCACTCATGTGATTTTTCTTTTTTTTGTGAGACAGGGTCTTGCTCTGTCACCCAGGCTGGAGTATAATGATGGGATCATAGCTCTCTGCTACCTCAAACTCCTGGGCTAAACTGATCCTCCTGCCTCAGGCTCCTGAGTAGCTGGGACTACAGGCATATGCCCTAACACCCAGCTAATTTTTTGTGCTTTTTGTAGAGACAGGGTCTCCCTGATGCCCAGGCTAGTCTTGAATTCCTGGCCTCAAGAGATCCTCCTGCCTCAGCCTTCCAAAGAATGTGACTTTGAGAATAGACATGAAGGCTCAATCAGAAAACCTGAACCTTAATTTTTTATACTGATTTAAGTATTAAAATGGTAGCTAAAAATAAAATTAAAATATATCTAGAAGATAAAATCTTCAGAATATTTTATATTTTTCCTTATTCCTAGGTGAAATAAGTATCTTCATTCTTTCTCATATTTAACATTATCAAAAATCTAGTTTTAACCAAAATAACATCAGGTCATTTGTTTATTCAGAAACTATTATTGCCACCATATATTTTTTTTAAAAATCACAAAAAACCCAAATAATTAAAAATTATTAAACATGCCCAGATTTCCTCCTGATTTATCAAAAATAAGTAGGTGGCTACTTAAATTTTATGGCACTAAGTATATTACAGTTCCAAATTCCTGCAAGCACATGAAAACATATCAATGGTTACTAACTTCAGGCAATATACAATCCTCAAAAGATAAATTTTACAGAATAAATCCACAAGTATACAACTACAGACATCAAATGAAAGGCAATTATTTGCTGGATACTTATTACAGACCAAAAATGATACTAAATGCTTTATACGTACTGTTTAATAAAACTCATTGGCTGTAAGAGATAACTACACTATTATGCCCATTTTACAGATGAGGAATTGCTTAAGAGTCTAGGTCCAGGATAACACAGGTCCTGGTCAGTGGCACAGCCAGAATCTGAGAGCACAGATCTGTCCAACTCCAGAAACTGCCCTCTTAATGACAAGGTAATGAGGTTTTCTCCAGAAGAGTGAGGAGCTCTGAGAATAAACAGGTGATGGACTAAGGCTTTGATGGCTGCGTGGCCCACCAAGAAAGGAACAGAACTAGATACAGAGTATTATTAACTGGGAGGATATATTTTAATGATACATAATTGGCATGTCAAGGGGATGCTGAGGGTTATCAAAACCCTAGGACTGGCTGGACAGGGTGGCTCACACCTATAATCCTAGCACTTTGGGAGGCCAAAGCAGGAGGATCATTTGAGGCCAGGAGTTCAAGATCAGCCTGAGCAACATAATGAGACCATGTGTCTAGAAAAAATAGAAAAATTAGCAGGGCATGGTGGCACATGCCTGTAGTCCTAGCTACTGGGGAGTCTGAGGTAGAAGGATCGCGTAAACCCAGGAGTTTGAGGCTGCAGTGAGCTACGATGATGCCACTGCACTCTAGCCCAGGCAACACAGCAAGTTCCTGTCTCAAAAGAAACAAACAAAATAAAAAAAAAACCATAGGAGTACAGCTGACTCCACAGGTGGACTGAAATTTGGTCCACATCTCAGGACAATACCAGGAAAACAGCTACAGAGAACAACGCTCCAGCATTTAAACTCAACTTCGTCATTTCAACTTTCATCAAGTCCTACTGAAGTCACAGGAAAAGAAGGGACATGCCATTATCTACTCCTCTCCAGGTATGCTAAATTCTGTCTTTATGTCAATTAAGATCACTAGAAAGCTTGTCTACTTCCTGGGCTACATTAATCCTGGCAGGAATGTTTTTCCTTGGTTCTATTAAATATTTCAAAGCTGTATCCAAATGCTGTCATCTCTCTTGCTGCTATACTTCTCCTCACAGTTTATGGCATCGTTCTCTACCCAGTCATCAAAATCAGAAACCTAGGTCAAATCCCTCTTCCTCCTTTTCTCACATTTGCCTCTTCTTGTAGTTCTAAAATCTTAGCTTCTGTATCCTATATCTATTTCTCTTCACCCCATAACTCTAGTACTTTAAACCGGGCCTTCCTCATCTCCCTTTTTTTTTTCCCTTAAATGGCCAGTTGCTCTGCCTTCAGAGGCTCCTTCTCCAGTCTGTTCTCCATACTGAAACCAAACTCAGCTTATTAAAATGCAAACTTAATATGCTAGCCCCTTGGCTAAAACCTAAATGAGTTCCAATTTTCCCAAAATCTCAGGTTTTTCCCTTAACATTTGAGAGTTAGATTCAATTACACACAAGTTTGCTGAATGACATCTCACTTTCCTCTCCTGTACAAGAGAAATTAGAACACAGGTAGGCAATAAAGTCCTTCCCTGGCCTCCCCTCTCCCCATGGCCCCTATAGGCCAGATCACCTCCCCCTCAAAAGGCACTGTGGGTGACTTCACGGACTATCCTAGAGCTGCAGTAGTGAGGAGGATAAGGTAAGAGAGAAATGTGTGATTCCAGCGCACTGACTCAGGCCCAGCTGCTAGTGTGCCTGGCTGATGTCAGCGGCTACTATGCAGCTCACAAGAGGGAGGTGTATGTATGGGTTCTGTGCTGGACTGCCCCCTTCCTACAAAATCAGTTGTCTTCTGACTGTGAAACAGAACATTTATAACAGAAATTCTGGAAAACCCAAAAGCTCCAAATACCTTGGGCAGCCAGAGATCCATCAAGAGCCAGTCTATCACCCTTGCACCACAAGTCCTGTTTCAGGGTAAACCAGATACTCCATGGACTGTGGCTACTATTTTCACATAAGTGAAAAATCCATGGTTCATAAAATGTTCCTCAGAAACTTTCAGTATATCTATGGTCTAACACATATCATCACATACGATCATTCACATAAATATCACATAGCTATGAACAAGACACAGTTAAAAAATACCCATTCCATAAGACTGTACTACCTACAGTATTCAGAATTTACAATGTCTTAATGCTGAAGAAAATAGCAAACTAAATTTTTGTTTTCTCTTTTCTCTCTCCCTCTCTTTCATCCTATCTTTAGTTTAGTTTGCCAGGGCTTACACTTGAGATGTTGATATTCAACTCTACATATTTTTCATCACCTTTTCATGGCTTTTCTCTATTCACATTCCCAGCCCATCTCAACCAGGAATATCTGCAATTTTTTTTTTCCAGCTCAGTATCTCAAAGGCCAAAGTATTTTGTTTTGTTTTCAACTCAGTATCAAAAGGCCAAAGTGTTTATTTAGAAGGAGAAGAGCATCCTTAAGCAACGCAATCTTTGATCTCATTCATTAACTCAAGTTTGCCCCAGTGTTTTGAGTCTTGGTTTCTCTAACATTTCCAAATCTGTCTA